TGGCAGGAAACGCTTAGGCCTGAAGCCCAGCGACTTAATCCAATTTCCCTCCTTCTTCCCTCCCCCTTCTGGTTAAGTGGGCTCTCAGAGACAATGCACTTCAGTTAGAGAAAAACCTCCCCCTCATTTGTGTCTATCCTAAGCAAAGGGTTGGAATATCACATTTTTATGCATCTGTGCTGACCTGACCATGCACACTCTGGAGTGGACTATAAGCTGAAGGATTTTCTTTCCAGACTCCAGCTGTAAGCAGTCTGCTTTATCAGCTCCTTTTAGCTGTTCCTGTTTTTTATTAGATAGGGTTTGAAACTCAAGTATTCATACTGCTCCTATGAATTTCAAGAGTTCTGTGCAAAGGTAGGACCTTTCAGTAAAGATGATCGCATGCACTTCTCCACAACTCTCCTGTTCCTCCATAGGACTTAAAGCCTGCCCCTTCCAGGATTGCATAGGGAATGGCACAGCCCTTGTGAAGATTAAACATGATATTTAGAACCACAGCAGCATTACCTGGCCTGCTTAATCATCTCCTCTTATAACAGCTAACCAAATCAGAAAAGATTAACCACTACAGAGCTTGAACACACTGAGTTCAACCCTCAGCTCTGGCTTCCAGAGCAGAAGAGGCCTCATGGGCAGGGTGCTGCAAGCTGCATGGAGCGTGCAATATTCCATTAGCGGGCAGCCATCAATCTTCCTTGTGAGAGGCTTTCACATACCATTTCTATTTGGAAAAGGATACACAAAGCATTGGGAGAGGAGGGGAAGGAGAGGAGAAGAGAGGAAATGAGCAGAGCCATCCCTATGTGGAACGGAAAACAAAAACTTTTCCCAGTTGTGGAAACTTAGTCCAAACGCAACATCAACCCATCAACAGCGTAGCCCATCCCATCAACAGGGATGGCAGTGTTTCTGTAATTATGACAGCTGTAGATAAAGTGTTTCTGCTTGCTCCTGTCATTATTTTGCAATATTTCAAACTTGCTGGAGTGTCTTCAGTGACACCGCATACGTTATTTGAGGAGTTTCACTGGACACAGAGGATATTCTTTCAAGCGTTTTAATAGCATACGTATTCAATTGTGTACGAAGCACACACAGCTGTGCAGCACGAGCATTCTTCCAATCAGGCCTCTCCTTTGGCATCTTCTCTGTGCATCTCGTGACACGCAGATATATCAAAGCAGCCAAAAGGAAAACTGTTCAAATGCTACTTCCCTGTAAACTCCATGTGACCAAAAAAAATAATAATAATCGTCACACTGAGTTTCCAGATTTGCTTCCACAGTTTCCATGTGAAAGGAGTTCATTTTAACAGAAGATAAATTTTTAACAACCACGCTTGGACCAAAATGATTCTGGAAAGTTAGGACAGGCCTGCTCTTTCATTTTTCCAGTATGAGGCTCTATACAACATCACATTCCTTTAATGGCACCACTGTAACCTTCCACCGCCAAATAATTTGGTAGGACTGTAACTAGAATTTGGTACAGCATGCTGATCGGGCACAAAGAGGAGAGGAAACTTGCTCAGTGTGAGGAGAAGTGGCTCAACAGGACTAACAAAAAGGCAGCATCATACCTTTGATCTCAAGCACTGTGTGCAAATAATTTATTTCAGTGTGTACTCAGATCTACCATATAAACCTATTTTTAAAGGAGATTTTTCAGGGGAGAACTATAGCTTATGACAAGACTCAACAGATTTGTAAAGATTACTTTTTTTTTAAAATAAAGAACTATAACTGGAAACAAGGAATTAGTAGCGTTTGCTATCAGAAGGATTATGAAAAAATACATCACAGGAAAACAGAAAGTAAGACAACCTAAGAGATAAATATATTTTTAAAACAAATCTAGGAAACGTGATCATTGCTGGGCCAGTGGGGTTGCATGCTTGAATTATTTGCAGAGTGAAGTCTTGCCCAGAAAATTCTGAATGACAGCATTTCTGCAGAGACCATTTTAATCCCATTTATGTCTTAGATTTCTGCCATACATCCACTGCTGTACACTATAAAGTCAGTATAACATTTGCTGCACTGAAACATAAAAGTGATGCAATATAATTTGAGAGATTCCAAATTGGAATGGAAACTCCAATATCAAACTGTTACTAATGTTGACCTGAAAGGCAACTTAACATGCCTATTAACATGTATACAACTTATTTCATATCATTAGCATCATGAAGAGATCTTCCCTAAACAGCAGCTATTAGGAAAATGATTAAGCCACAAGCTGAACCATTTTCTAGTATAACAAAGAAGCTCTAGTGCACACTTGGGCATAGAGGGGCACTTGAGTTAACAGAAAAAAAAAATCTAATTAGGGAAAAAAGGGATATTCTCCTGGCCAAGACAACAAATCTAACTCAAGTAGCTTCATAAAGTGCTTTTATTAGCATTGAACGGACAAGAAAAGTTGCTATACTTGGGCTTTAGAGTTTATGGTTCAGTGATGTGAACAGGCTAGATCAAAGCTACTCAGGTATATTTAACATTGAGATCCAAGTCCAGTTTGTACTCAGTTTGCAACCTGAAGCCAATTTGCAGAACTGAAAGTGAGAAGTGGAACAAAAACAAAAGAAAATGGGGCACTGCTTTGCACTGATATTTGCCCCATTCAGCTTTACAGGCATCTGTCTACACAGCCAAAGCAGGCCAAATGGCTCTTTGCAGAACAAAAACTTATTGGAGTTCAGAATAGGAATAAAGCCTATAACAGGGTGAGAGGAACAGCACTGGTGATTACATTAGCAAATTGCACTGGCATAGCTACCCTGATGGCTGACCTCAGCAAAGGGATAAAGAGCAAAATCAAAGGCAGACAAGCCCTAGATCTTTAAAAACTCACAGCCCATTGTGCCTACCTCTAGCTTTCCGTTTGACATCAACCTTAAAATATTTCTATTTAAAGTCAGCTTTAATGCAGTATCTCTGTCATGCAGAGGAGCTGCAAAGAACTGGAGAGGCACAATATCCCCTAGGGACAGCTACTTTGCCCTACAAGTTGGAAAAAGAGGAACACAGACCTCTGACCTATCTATTGACTGTAGAACTGAACTGACCTCCTTGCACAAACAATGCAAACACACCATTTAACCACAGACTATTGACTACAAACAAGTGCAGCACTCCTCTGCTCACCATAAATTCACTCCAAACTTCCTCTTTGAAGACTACTACAATTGGGGTAAGAAAGGAGGAAATCTCTTCCCTCAACCTAAGAAGCCATGCATTTCCTTCCCCCAGAAAAAAAGACTCATTCACGTGCAGGAAACATTCCCAACCTGAGTCTTCCTTGGTTTTGTTTTTTAGGGGTTGGGAGGGGGGTGTGCCTGGTGGTTTTTGTTTTGCTTTTATTTGTTTTATTGGGGGGGGGGTTGCCCTTAAAAAAAATAAAAAAAGCTCTCAGAAAACCTCAGGGACAAGGACAATCAATATTCACTATTGGGAACCTTAAAACCCAGGAAAAAAAAAAACATAGCGAGACTAACAGAGGAAGCAGATCAAAAACTATCCAAGACAGCCAAGACCCACCACAGTCACAGCTGGAGCCTGTGTTTCTGCACCACTGACAAGACTGGGAGCCTCATTAACCACTTCTCCTCTCAGCACTGCAGCCTCTGTAAGGCGAGCTACAGAGCTAAGAAAGGCCTCATGCAGGCTCCTCGCCAATTGCTGCGAAGGGATTAGGGCCTCCGGCAGCTATACTGAAGGGAAATACTGTTTGAATAGAGATGCTTTCTTTACAGCTTCCTCCATTAAGCAGTGTGGAGCTGCAGATGGTCTTCTCAGCAACCAAGATGAAGTCAGATGCTATTCCCTCCAGAAGAGCGTTTTGGCAAGTGGTCAGCATACACATGATTTGCCACTCCACTTCTGCTGTTCAGTTGTC